TGATGTTCTAATAGGCAATTTCCTAGGCTGTACTCAAAGTGCAAACTTTGCCTACCATATGTCTTACAGCAGCTAGTACGTCTGCTTGTTATTGATTCGTGTGTGTGTGTGTGTGTGTGTGTGTGTGTGTGTGTGTCTGTGTCTGTATTTACTCTACAGAACTTAGAGTGGAACCAAGAGGTACTGTACCACTGAGCTACCTCTCCAGCTAAATTGCTTGAGTTGGACACAGACTTGTGATCCTCTTGTCTCAGCTTCTCTAAATGCTGGGATTTCATATGTGCATCACCACGTCTGGCTTCTGGTTGGCTTTTACAACTTCATACTGCTGCAGTTCTTAGCCTGGCTCCATGAGAGCCCTCAATACATCTGTATAGTTGAGCAGTCACCCAAATATATGAGTAGAAGGCTTATGAAATTTTGGAGGCACATCCTCTCAAAAAATCACATTATCTTTTAAAACCTATCCTTAAATTTTAGCTGCTTTTTCCAGCTTCAAGTTCTGTCTTCTAATGCCTCAAACCAGAAAGTCTTCAACCTTGTACTATAAAGTTGTTTGTAATATGAGACATACATTTAGTTAGAATAGTAGAAAACTGATAAATTTTACCCAGTACAGCTCTTCCAAAATTATTTTTCAGTTGATCATCAAGGCACATACCTGTTATCCTAGCATTCTGAGAGGCTGAGGCACGAATATGTAAAGTATGAGCCTAAGATAGATAATTCAGTTAGCAAAACCCTGTCTCAAGATAAAAAATAAAGTGCTAAGAGTGTAGTTTAATGTAAAGATACTGGGTTCAATTCCTATTACAGAAGAAGATGATGTTGAAGGAGGAGGAGGAGGAGGAAGAAAAGAATGAAGAGGAGAATGAGGAGGAGGAGTTGGAGCAGGGGGAAGAGGAAGGAGGGAGGGGAACAGGAGGGGAGGGAGGACAGGAAGAAGAGAAAGGAGAGGGAGAAAGAGGAGAAGGAAAAGGAGGAGAGGAAGGGCAGGCGAGAGGGAGAGAAGAGAGGGAGGAAGAAGGGGAAAAGAGGAACGGGAGGGGAAAAAGAAGAAGAGAAGGAGGAAAAAGACTAGTTTTCTGCCTCATCTCTTCATCTCTGCCTGTTTTGGGGTGGTACCTGCTAGATTCTTCAAAGCGCATGCACAGCTCAGCTGTCCGAGACTTATGCAAGTCGTAGTCAGTGTTCGTCTCATTAATTATTTTGCTGCACCATAGGGTTTCCTTCGGAGATGTTCACCTATGTTCCCATCACTGGGATGTTTTCCGTTTGCTTTCGTTCTGTGCCTTGGTCCTCTCCTGCTAGCAAGCCAATAGTTTTCTGCCATAGATTTAGTCGTTGATAAGAAGCAACAGGAAAAATAGCTCCAAACTCGCCATTTTTACCTTCTACAGTTACAGCTTTTCAAAATCACAGTCTCCTGTGGTATCAATCTAAGAATGTTTTTCAGTACCTTTCTCTGAAGTTCTACACAGATTTTTTTGCAAGCATTACCTTCCAGAGAACTTACGTTAATAGTTTTTTCTACTGCCAACACTGCATTAAATTAGAGCATGACTTTTTCAATATTATTCTTACTTTAATTATAATTACAGAAACACAATACATTTATTATGGAAAAATTATAAAATACATGTAAACAGAGAAGAAACTAAAAATTAATTATAATCATTTATATTTTCTGTAATAGGATCACTACCAGGGATTAGTAATTTTCAACAATTAGCTTTCCTGAAAGATATACAAAAAGTCTTGCAAAAACGGTTTTCATATTAGAAGATACAATCCTAGAGATATTAAAAAAATCAGGAAGTATCATGGACAACTTTATATCAAAAAGTGACAACTTAAACGAAATGGAAAATGCTTTGAAGGACATGAATCACCAAACTATCCAAATCTGTGGAGAGAAAAATGAATCAATCCTAACCATTTGAGCAACCGAGTATGTATTTGAAGTTTACAAGATGTGTCACCAATGTATTTATAGATTGTGGAGTTTAAGTAGCTAGATAGTAGCTTGGAAGAAAGAAAAGTGTGTCCTGTTGGCTTTTACTAAAAGTATGAAAAAATTTGTCTTTAAGAGCAATAGAAACCATTGACATTTTGCATGCAAGGAGCTGATATTAGGACATTTGCTTTTTAAAAAGCTCCATATGTGTATTGCCAAGAACTAACTGGATTAAAGAGAAGGTACACTAGGAAATGGGTTCAAGAATCATGTCAGTACTTCAGATGAAGAAGAGAGCGATTAAACAACATAGTTTTGGATGAAAAAGGGAACATTTCTAAGTTATTCGGGAATTAAAACTAGAAGTATCATGGATAAATTTGATGTTTAGGATGAAAAAGCACTTTCTTCTGCCCTGAGAAGCTAACCCATGAGAGTGAGATTCTCTGTACTAAGGAATTAACAAATCAGGCATTCATCTATTTTTAATTCATGGGGACTTGAAAAGCATATCAGCCTCAAAAGAAATTTTTCTTCTATATTGAAAATGTTTGATCTCAAAATGACCACAAATATCCTGTTTATATTTACACAACAAAGGCACTTCAACTGTCTAGTAGCATCACAAGACCATTTAAATCATGATTATAAAGAATCATGTTAAAGCCGGGTGTGATGGTGCACGCCTGTAATCCTAGCACTCAGGAGGCTGAGTCAGGCAGGATGATCGCTGTAAGTTCGAGACCAGCCTGGACTACATAGTGAGTTCCAGGTCAGTCTCAACTACATAGTGAGACCCTGTCTCAAAATGCCTCCCCCGCAAAAAAAAAGAAGAATCATGTTAGTGTTGTCACACGTAGGTCACCTCTAATTTTTCCATACTAAATTCCAGGTACATAATTTAATTTATGAGTCTTATCTTTTCTACATTTAAAAATCTCTTCCACATTATCTTATCTGTTTGGGAACAGTTTCCTTCAGGCAGTCTTTATTGCTCTTCCCACAATCTCCCAACAGTATTTATTTATTAATAGAGAAGATATTATGCCAAGGAGGACCAATAGCCACAAGAAGGGAAAAAAATGTCCTTCTAGCCTTTTGTGCATGTAAATAATTAATCATAGCAAAAAGAACAAAGGCCAGGGATTCAGCTCAGTGGTTCTGCTGCCTGCCTTACAAGTGCAAGGACCCGAGTTTGATCCCGGTACCAAATAAGAAAGAAAGAACATAAATAATACTTAGCATATAACCCTGTTCAAACTTATTTATTTTCTCTTTAAAATGATAGGGTTCTGTTAGTGTTGGTTTGTGTTACATTGACTTTTCTGAGACTGTTTGATGTGCCTTCCTTGCTCTTAAAAATAAGTCATTCATTCTGAAAGAAATCAAATAAATAAAACATTTTTCAAAATGCCTAATGATAACAATTAGATCATACAGAAGTTTTTAAGTTAAAAGATTATGACAAATCTCTGCCTTTTAAGATTAAAGCACATCATTTAGAGAAACTTAAAGCACATGTACAAGAAATACTAAGCCTACCAAATATGAGCTTCAGGCCACACACCGGTTATTAAGCGCATCTGGCTTATGATACATCTCATATATATGTATTTAGCAATAATAAAGAAAATATTCATTAATTTAAAAATATATTTCATTTATTATATGCTAAATAGTAAGACAATAGCCTTGGGAGGTGCGAATTTGAATAAAAGCAAGCCCTTGTTTTTATAAACTTTAGATAAAACAAAAGATGAATCAAAATAAGTGCATAGTAATCTCAGATAACATTTACGCTGAGATTCAGATTGTAGTCACTCATTCATTCTTTCAACAGTTATTTTTGAGAACTTACTATATTATAGAAACTTTTACAGCAAACATGTTGAATTAACTGTTTGACTTCCATGATCATTTTACTTGAGAGATTTCTGTGAAGTTTTTGTTATAAGGAAGAGAACACCCAACCAATTCTGTGCGTTTAACCACATCGTTCTTGCTCTGAAAGATAACAGATTGCAAAAGAATGATAGAGAGAGAAATGGAGAAAGAATGAAGGAAGAAGAAAGGAAAGAAGGGAGAGGAAGGTAAGGAAAGGGAAAAAGGAGGAATAAAAAGTAAAGACTAAGATTAAATTATTCTGAAAATATGTATGAGGATTGATTCCTATCTGCAATGCAATAAAACATAAAGAGGAGGTATATTTTTGTTTCTTCTCAATTTTTCATGCAGTAGAGTAATTTAGGACTTGTGAAGCACTCAGTTTATCAGTAGTAGTGCGGAGAGTGATCGAACAAAAATGGTGATGCTGCCTTGTAGGAGTCTTTGATGTCCACTAGGAAAAGGCACCTGGACGCTATGGGGACACCTGGGAGGGCATAGTGGTAACTAGGGAGGCAGCAGTCAGCAAGAGCAGAGCCTGGTAAGCATTTTGCTAGGCAGAAGAAACAAAAGTAGTGGATCTTGGGAAATCAACAATACCCAGCTGAGGTACAAGATCCCAGTGAAGAATGTAACTGTACCAATAAACTGAATGAGAGGAAAAAAAAAAAACAATACCCAGCTGATACTACATGATTTGATATAAACTACAAGACTGGCCACTATGTAACAAGTAGCAAGATCCTGAGTTTGATCTCAGGTTAAAAAAAAGAAAAAGAAACTAGTAGTCATCCAAATAGAGTGTCACTGAAAAAAAGAAACATCACCAGGAACTCCCAGAAATACTATTTTTGAGATAACAGAATTTCCAAACAGGATGAGATCCTACAGGAGCCTAGTGAAATCTCAATTATTATCATTAATATGAGTTCATATTATAATTAACATCATAACAGAAGCCCAAAGAAATACAGGAGTCCTGGTGGACTCTGTAAAGGAAAAGCAGAAAGGAGAGAATCTTCTCTGATTCCTCATTAAAGTCCTTGGAAAAGGTATGTATTTGTTGGGCTTGTGATTGACAAAGAAGGAAAGCAGATCTAGTTCCTAATCTCTTGCTTGCCATCGATGTGAAGAGGGAATGGTTTTCAATAGGGTGAAGCCATGACATCTCTTGAGTCCAGCAAGCACACCGTTGGGCTGTCGCCTTCACTGATCGTCCAGGGAAAGCTGAAGCATTGAGCCAGGACACACAGAGCAGCCTGAAACAATGGGTATACACCAGACCGGGTAAGTCTTCCTGGTGAGCGAGCTTGACTGTCCTCTATTGTGTTTTTCATTTATGCCCCTGCATTTGTGAGAAGTTATGCTTCACTGGTCTGTCTCTTCTAAAGCAGCACTTATTTCCAAACTAGAGTGAAACCAGGAAATATCCCATCCTTCAGTCATTTGGTAGTGTTTCTTAATGTGAACTAATTTATGTTTACTTTTATAGGCCACTACAAGCAAGTAAATGCAACAACTTTTCCTCTTCTTTACCTATGAGTATGAGTACTTGCAAATCAATATCTTAAAACTCCCTAAGTAGCTACACACACACACACACACACACACACACACACACACACACACACACACACACACACACTGAGGGCGGGGTTTTTTGTCTGGTTTGTTCAGTTCTCTATTCCTGAGCCTAAAGCTATCTTTTTCTACAAGCTAGAGTCAAAAAAATGTTAATGATCAACACAATGTATAAACTCAAAACAAAATATGAAAACAGCCATTCATTTTCAGGAGAAGAACGCTTTATTTCTAGCATCTGAGAAGAGTCAAGGTGGGCATTCAAGGCTCTAAATCCCCAGAGGTCAGCATACACTGTGTGTGCAAAGAAGAGCAAACATGCTGTGAAAGGTACATGAAAGAAGGAAGAAAAAGTAACTCTGGAAAGACAGGTAGGGTGAAAGTCAATGTAAGGTGAATATGGGGCCTGAATGGCAAACCACAGGTTGGAGATTTTATCTTTTCTGAACATGATTGTGAAAATTGCATCCACGTATTGGCAAATTTAATTTAGCAACAGTTCTGATTGATAAGGACAGAACTGGAAGCAAAAAATACAATAGAAGTATGTTTTGTATCATTCTTTGATTATCAAAAGTAAAACTTGATAGGACAGGGTGGCTCTGTCCAACTGAATCTGATATTAAAAACATGAGTTTGTATAACTCCCTGAAAATGGGCAGAAAAAATTAAAGGCAGAATACTATGAAATGAAAGATTGTGGTTTTTTAGATCATCTGTCAAAAGTTGATTCAGTCTCATTCTTAAAGGCCTTTAGGCACCAGATGTAGAATTGTAAAAACAAAAAGTAAAAATAGCTTTTAGTGAAGAACATAGGAACACAAAAAGAAAGTAAAAGCCCATTTGTAATACACCCCAATAATTTAAGATAGGGCTGTTTGACAGAAAGAAGTAAAAAAGCAAGAAGGAGTGAGAGAGCAGAGTGTAGGGCAATCTATGCAAGTACATTCTGCAGGAATGCTCCCCACAATACAGTGTGGGGAACATTACGATGCCTATTGTAGGGAAAACTAGTTCAAAAAGTTTGAGATACAGTTGTAAGGATTTTTAATAAGGGCAGTATACCCTAATTGTTGATTATCTGCATCCTATTCAAATAGGAAGATCGTCATGTCATTTTTCTGTATTTGACAGAAAAACAAACAAGAAAAAATCAAGACAAGAGCCAAAACTCTGAGGACCAAAGTGTAGGAATCTAGCTGCTCTGACTATATTTGAAAAGAAAACTATTCTCAAATCTCTGCTGACATGGGATGTGAGAGCAAGACAAAGCTAAAAGTTTTTTTAAATACATGTACTGATTTGTAATATCTGAGTTAAATATTACATAGTTCTGGGTGTAATTTTATCATATACCAGTCAGCTTTTATAAAAATCCTACTCTACTGATGTATGGTTTTCTAAGAAATCTTTCATATTGTTCAAAAGGGAAATGCCTGGATGCCTGTGGCCGTGTTCCACCAAATGCCTTTTAATCCAAACTCATATTTAAGTAAGATTACACTTGCTTGATTAAATTTATAACCTTGCATGTTTTATACATGGGTTTCTCTGTACTCATCCTAAATTTCATACATGAGAGACTCTCTTCCTCTCAGCACATGTCATGTTTTTCAGTACAATCTCTGGTCGATTACTAGAAGGTACTAATACATTACTTATTTATTTTTAAGGTTGAATCATTTTGTTTGTTTAAGAAGAACCATAATCATCCATGTGAGCCATTGTTTTAGTGTACTGAGTTGCTAAGAAAAAAGACTGGACAATTTCTAAAGAACAGAAATTTGTAGACTTACAGTTCTGGAAGCTGAGGAGTCCAAGATCAAGGTACTGGCATCTGGTATTTATTAATCTTACTTCTTAGATGATGCTTTGAATGTTGTTCCATATGTAACAGAGGTTTGGGAGAACTAGAGGAGGAAAACACACGCACAGAAACACACATACAGTATACTCTCTCAAAATTTTTTAGAGCTGTATTAGTCAACTAGACACCTCCATTAGGCCTCCCCTCCCAACATTCTTGCTCTGGGGATTGAGTTTCAACATGGTTTTTGGAGGAGCCAAAACCCTTAAACTATAAGATCTGTAACTACAATAGTTGAGATTTATGCACATTTTCCTGATAGGAGCCAAACAATGGTTGAAAGATAATAAAGAAAATCATCATTGGTTGGCTTTGAAAAGAAATGTGAACTAACACAATCCCATTCAGGTGAACTTTTATCTGAAGGTCAAGTTAAACTTATAACTCAGTGGAGGCTATAAGGACCAGAGGGTAAGAGAGGGGAATTATCCAGAGAGAACCCAGAAGAGCAGGATACCAAAAGACTGTGAATTAACTGAAAAAGAAATTGGGGTAGCTTTAAAGTAACTGCCAGTAAATGATTTGAATAGATGAATTATTTTACACACATTCACATTTCTTTCCCTACTGAGAAAACTGAACTACTACATACTATTTAATGCCAAATAAACCTCATCCTAATCAGAGATCATATCCAGTAATGTGCTTTAGTAAGTAATTTCAAGTGTACATGAAATCAAGAGTTTCAGACAAAACAAATGGAAATCTACACAAGCAAATCTTTGATGACAGTGCCCATCTAAAACATGCACCACTGGCCCAGGATAGGTGAGATTCAGAGTCCTTCACACAGCACCAAGTTTTTGTATTGTGAAAATACCTATTTTCTGCTGGAAAGACTTTGTGACATTTTCAAGAAAGACATGTTTTAGATCCTGGATTCCACTTACAACAATCCTTAGCCACCATGCTCACTTTAGCAGCACATATACTAAAATTCTTAGCCAGAGTTGTCCTGCTAGGGACATTTCAGAGATAAAGACAATGCCATAGGACCTGTATCCATAAGTCCTGTTAAGATTAGATCAGGTCACCACCTTCTTTTCTTTTCCCCAAAGGTCCTCCCTCTGCAATCCAGGTAGCTGCTCTAACTCCTTCTCATGCAATAAGTGAAATTATTGTACATGATTTCCAAAAAAAGGTTAATTCCCACACCTGTATGGCTTTGATTCCTATTTCATGTGATATTGCTAGTTCAGTCTTGATAATTTGTCTCCAAGTTTAAATTCTATTTCAGCATTGTTTCATAAGACTACAGGCTCCCCCTCACTAATCCTTTTTCCATAGAAATCGTGGCTATGACTCATTTTGTTGATTTATTTTGCAAAGTTTAATAAGGTCCATACCTGTTAAAAATGATTTAAACTTACATGAAAAGATAAAGAAATGTTAACATGTATAAAAATGTAGTACTATATTTTAGGATGTCAAATGTGCTGTATCAAGGACAGAACAGCCACTCAAAATGCCCTATGAAAGCACTTTCAATGCAACATAGAATGGGGGCCATGATATGTACACCTGGGATATGTTTATTTTAACCCTGTGTGGTAAATCTAAGAGCTCTGTAAGAATAGAGTTGTTAAATTATCTAAGGAACATTCATAAACAAGAAAAATGATATATGATTCAAGAAGTAAACGCTAAAATGTGAATTAGTCTTGTTTAAATTTAGTAAAAGCATGACATTTCCTTGAAATATTTAGAATAAATGTTGTTCCTTTGAAAGTTCCTTTTTAAGCCACTGTGATAAAAACAGCATGGTACTGGCAAAGAAACAGACCTGAGGATCAATAGAACAGACTGGGAGACACAAAAACAAACCCAGATGTACTCAGCTACCTCATCTTTGACAAAAGGAGCTGACCATCCTCAGTGGAGGAAAGATAGCCTCTTTAATAAATGGTGTTGGAAAAACTGGATTTCAACCTGCCACAGATTAAAACTGGACCCTTATATTTCACCATGCACTAAATTAAAATCAAAGTGGATTAAAGATCTAAATATTAAAACAGAAACATTAAACTCGCTGGAAGGTAAGTTAGGCAGAACTCTAGAAGACATTGGCATAGGAAAAGACTTTATGAATAAATCCTCAGTAGCACGGGAACTAGCAGATAGAATCAATAACTGGGATCTCATCTTATTAAAAAGCTTCTGTACTTCAAAAGAAACCATCAACAGAACTAAGAGACAATCTACAATGTGGGAAAAAATTTTCACAAGCTGTTCCTCAGACAAAGGACTATTATCAAGGATATATAAAGAATTCAAAACAATCAGCCCCCCCAAATATAAAGACCCGATTCAAAAATGGGCATCCGAAATGAACAGACATTTATCAGACAAAGAAGTAAAAGCAGCAAGTAAATATATGAAAAAATGTTCCACATCACTGATCATTCGAGAGATGCAGATGAAAACAACACTGAGATTCCACCTTACTCCACAAAGAATGGCTGCTATCAAGAAATCACACAATAACAAATGTTGGTTGGGTTGTGGGGAGAAAGGAACCCTTCTCCATTGTTGGTGGGAGAGCAGACTGGTACAACCACTATGGAAATCAATACGGAGATACCTCAAAGAGCTTGGACTGGAGATTCCATTTGACCCAGCCATCCCTCTGCTGGGTATCTTTCCAAAAGAACTGAAAGAATCATATCACAGAGAAGTATGCGCACGCATGTTTATAGCAGCAGCTTGTAATAGTTAAAACTTGGAAACAGCCTATTTGTCCATCAATTGGAAACTGGATAAAGAAGATGTGGTTTTTCTATAAAATGGCATACTACTCAGCCATAAAGAATGAGAAAATAGATTCATTCATAGGAAAATTGATACATATTGAAGATATATTCCTAAGTGAAATAAATAAGGCACATGTGTAAATACCGAATAGTTTCTCTGGTGTGAATAATCTGCAATAATACAGAAGATCCTAACAAGATTACTGACATTGAGAAATGGGAAGAAAGGAGCTAAAAGTGTAGGGAAGGTGGGATAGGTAGGAGAAGGGTAAAAAGGGAAAAGAAAAAAATGTGAGATAATGAAAAGATGGAAATAAAGTGTTTGTAGATGAGGAGGGGAGGAGGGGGTGAAGGGAGGGCAGGGACAAGGGGAAAAATGAGAACCAAGACCTGTCATGTAGAGGTACAAGATCCTAATGATGAATGTAACTGTACTGTATCCCTAAAATGTACCAATAAACTCAATTAAAGCTGAAAAAAAAAAGAAAGTTCCTTTTTAGTAGTATACCTTATATAATATGACCTGGTCATAAATCACTGTATCTTATCTGAATCCTTGGAGTTTTACACAACATGATATGGTGCAGTGTCTTCCTTTAAAGTCTGAGGTTATGACACAAACAAGTTTTGAAATGCATTGTTAATTATTAAAGTGGTTTATGGATGGTTGAGGCTAATTATAATATATCTCTACTTGAAAATAGTATACTTGAAAATTTCATGAAAGTTTGTAAAATTTTAAAGTGGTGAATGGTTCATCTGGCTCCCTCTGTATTTCCATGTTTTCAGCCTCATCATTGTGAAAAATATCTTCTCCATTGATTGCCAGGAATTTTCTGCTTCAACCCAGACTTAGCACTGTAAGTACAAAGTATTTGGTGAGTTAACCACATCATTTGATGATTGCTTTTTTTTTTGTCCTACCCCTCTAAGTCTCTCAATGCTGTATATAAAAAAATTAATTTCCCGAACCTCAGGAGACAGCTTCAGATATTTCAATTTTGTTGTTACTATTTTAGAAGAAGAAAAAAAAATGCCGAGAAATTTGTTCAAGGTCGCAAGGCAATTTGCCGGAAAACTCAGCCCAGGAAACCTAAACTTTGTGGTCCTGCAAATAAATTCTTTTTTTTTTTTTTTTTTTTTACTTCAGATATCAATTTTGTTGTTACTATTTTAGAAGAAAAAAAAAAAATGCCGAGAAATTTGTTCAAGGTCGCAAGGCAATTTGCCGGAAAACTCAGCCCAGGAAACCTAAACTTTGTGGTCCTGCAAATAAATTCTTTTTTTTTTTTTTTTTTATTGAGTTTATTGGTACATTTAGGGATATAGTACAGTTACATTTT